TATATTTATAACATTTAATTTTAAATTATGATAATACATCATGTAAAGTGTAAAAAGTTAAGTATAATGAATATCATACTCTCGCTCAAAGTAGAAATATAGGAAAATAAGCTAAAAAAATATTTTTTTAATTAAAGAAATAATCAACTATCATAGGCATTTTATAGAGAAGACTCCTCAAATACAACTGCTATTTTTTTACTTTAAAATAAATATTTACATCCAAACAAAAAACATGTATCTAACTTTATTTGAATATGCAAATAAAAGTATTAAAAAAAAAAAAATTATCAATGTGTATTTCGCAATATTAAATCATACGCAAAATCAGAGAAAGTCTGAAATCGAAAGTAAATCTGAATTTCGGAAGTTCCAGCTTCACAAATGATGTGATGGGTTTAATAATATATGCACTCTTCCCAATATAGAGGACTTCTATTCACAATGATCTTTGTTTCCCTTTCATGGTTCTCTTATTTCAATATTAAATTAAAAAATACACATGACTCTAAATTTTTACCCTATTACCACAATTCCATGTTTTATAATAGTCACTCTAGTAGAAGTATCCCAAACAATTAATTGTTTATCTAGTGACAATGACTTATCAATTATAGAATTTTTGTCAACGTTTGTCATTAAATTTTGACCAAGATTTTTAGAGCTTATGGAAAAGCTTACATTTTTCCGCTCTATCCCCTAAAATATTTTTAAAACAATTCTGAGATAATCGCGACGAAAAGGTTTCCATCGATAAAAATAATTGATTAAAATTTTGATCGGTTCATAATCACATTGTACAACAGTTATACTAGAGAAATCTATAGCAAAGCTGTAAATTTTTCCGCACAGTTTTTGAAATACTTAATACGGACTGATTAATAATACTTACACACACACACACACACACACATATATATATATATATATATATATATATATATATTAAATAAAATTTAATTACCAGTCAAGTATAATTAACCATCAAGAGAACGGTGTCGGTAAAAAATCCATAGACTGATTACTTGCATTATAATATACAATTAAGAGATATCGATTAATTATAATTTTTGTATTACTATTAATAGTTGAATTTTAATTAAATCTATTCATTTAAATGTTCTATCAAATTAAAGAAAGTCTGAATTTGTAAAGTGTTTTATAATAGGCAACACTTCACAAACATTGTATTTAAGATAAATTTTAAATTTCTTACAAACAAAATTAATATTTATACACTAGGGATTTTTGAATCATTTTGGATCATATTGAATTTTGGATAGACCGAAATGTTCAGAAACCCCTAAAACGTAAAGATATGCAAAAAAAATTATTTTGAAATTGGGACTATTACCCTACAAAAAGTTAATAAATATTTTTCAAAGTTCATTTATAAAATAAAAATAATAATATCATCATTATAAAAAAAGATAAAATTATAATCAGCATGCAAAAAAATAAAATTAGAATAAACTCTTAATTGTGTGTTTATCATTGCCTAATCGTTTGGAATGTGATTTTGCAACTATATAATTTTTTAAAGTAGATTTTTGTTAATCCATTTAATTTAATAAAAAAATATATTTAACATATTTTTCTATTTTTAAGTAAAACTAATAAAATATAAAATTATATTTCCTAGACAAATTATAAGATCTTTACTTTTGACCCTGCGATTTCGGAGCTCACTTCATTTCGAATGGAATTTTTTAGACGCAGTTTTGACAATGTGAAAGTTTAAAACAATGAGTAGGGGTCAAGAAAGAGATAGATCAAGAGAAACCGGCAATTTTGAACCGAACGAGATTTCTATCAAGGACTGCCGCCTGTGTGTGACCTATGAAATATAATTAATTAGACCCATAAACCTCTCGTGTGATCTACGCAGAACTTGGGTAATAAACGGGGAGCTGATATTAGAACTGAGAGTACTAAAAATTTTCTATGTCTTCAAGGTCCAATTTGAGTTACAAATACCACATAGCAAACAAACAACTATCTGACTATGTTCAGTAAACCCCCAGCTAATTTATAGTTGTAGAAATGTGTTTTTTGGCAATTTTTCAAAAATTTGTGGCCTGGTCCTTTTTAACCCATAGTCATTTAATCAGTGCGATGCAGTTTTATTATTAGCATAAACAATGAAATTTTGAAAGTTTAAGTATCAGCTTGAACAATAAAACCGTAATCTAAATATTTATTTTTAAACATAATAAATAAAAAAATATCAACTAACACTGCATACAATTTTTACATGGAATTCATCAGCAGAGTTAGAATAACTACTAATGGAGATCTCTTGTGTAATTGCTATTTTTAAATCATTTTACATTTTTGTTCACTATTTTCTTATTCTTTTAGCTTCAATTAAACGTAAGCTATTCTAGAGGTTATATAAAAAAAAGTTGAATCTAACTTAAAAATAACAATATATCTTATAAAATAATTAAATAACGTATACCTAAAAATTATATTATAGTATTGGAAACTATACAAACCTGCTTAGAAACAAAATGACTAACAACGTAAAAAATACTTTCGTTAAAAAAATAACAATGTAGGTGACGATTACACATAAATTTTTATCTGTTAAAATAGTATTGTTAAACAAGCGGTGTATCGTGCCTTAAGGCAAAATACAGGAACTTCCCATACCGAAATTTAATTTTGTAAAAAAAGCTTTAATTTTTTTTTAAAACATCTTTTTGAAGATTCTTGAAAATTTTGAATTTGATTTTCTTAATATTTTTTTACCGCCAAATGGCATTTACGGTTTGCTCTGTTCTCTCAAAAACAGAATGGCCATTTTTTAAATCCGATCAATAGGATTTAAATGCTTTTTGAGTCATTCAAATCGGTTCCTCCGTGTTTCCGAAAACTAATCGGCAAAAAAGCGAAACTAGTCGTCAAAAAATTGTATTTGCATATACATTAGGGTGGTCTTTAATATGGACATTTTCGAATTTTCTTGCTCCCGAGGGCTCAAATGGTTCCAAATTGATAAAAAACAATTTTCTCAAAGTTTTCGCTCTTAATATTAACTTCTAGATGTTGCGCAATTCAATCAAACTTCGTATAGAAATAGCATGGAAACAATTTTGAAAATTAAAAAAAAATTTTTAGGTATAACTTAGCGACAAATGAATTAAAAGTAAAAATCCGTGTCATTTTTTTTTTTTGAAAATTCGACGATCTGCAAAATTTTTGCGCTCTATCTAAAAGACAATATTAAGAGCTAAACTTTCAGAGAATTGTTTTTTATTAATTTGGAACCATTAGACCCCTTGGGAGCAAGGAAATTTGAAAATGTCCATAGTAAGGACCACCCTAGTATACGTATAGACACACACGTTTTAAGGTATTCAAAAATCTTCAGAAACCTCTGAAATGTAAACTTTTTCATTCTGGATTTTTTGCGATTACTATAACTTATCCTATGGGAAGTTGAAAATGCCACATTTGTTCTTGCTCATTGAAAATGGTAGTGGACCTATTTACCCACGGGCCTTTAAACCCAGCTCTACCCAACTGTATATTTTAAAAAGTAAAAAGTAAAAGTACACTGAAGAATCAAGAAAATTTACTCATTTTATTTCTATTTATTTACCTCTTTCAAAAAGTAACATTTGGTAAAATTTATTAAAAGAAAATAATAGACAATAACTACAACTATCTCTCTGAAGTTTCAGAGGCTATTAAAATTTCTATATCTTCATACAAATTTCCTTACAATTTAGTTCAATTCGATTCATGTTTAATTTGTCTTTATATCTAGTATATACTAAATTTATGGCCAATATTTTGGGTCAATCAAATCAACCAACTTTTTCGATTTTCATTAGCTCACTATATAAATCGCTAATTCATACATAAACCACACAGTCTGAACTATATTTGAAAAGTCAAGTTTCTTGTCTAAATTTTTTTTTTTTTTTTTTGACTCATTTTATTTAGCAATCAGAAATACATACATCTTGTCTAAAATAATTTAGCAGAGCCCGTTTGATAAATCGAATGAAATTTGATCTTTTATTTTTAATTAGTTATTTAATTAATTAGATGATTGATACTGATCCCTTTCTAGATTTATAGTTTGGTGGGGTTAAAAATGAAGTTGTTACTAAAATCTTGTACAATAGCGTTGTTGTGATCCTGAGGGTCCAAGAACTTTCTAATATATAGGAACATATATAAATTTAGGTCAAATAAAAATTTTGAAAAAATTATACTACATTTGTGAAAGACAAAAATATCAGTCACGCTGCTTTACAGATGAATCTCATACTTCTTTAAATTTATTGAGCTCATAACAGTTTAAAAAAAAAACCTTATATATTCTAAATCTTCATAGAATTTTATTTAAAACCATGTAAGAGCAAATAATTATATTGTTTGTTTGAGGTCATTTCAAGAAAGCATTTATCATCACTTCTTATTTGACTTCTCAAGAAATACGAGGTTGTAAATCAGGTTTTATTAGATAATTCTAAAAAGATCACCTGAGCAGAATATGATTGATACTTTCGTTTTTATTCACGACTGCCAAATTAAGAATATCTTTAAACCGGTAAATTAAACAAGTTTTGCTAAGCATTTTATTTATATTTTATGTAAGATTTAAATTTGGGATTCACCTTCTATTCTAATGGATTTCTTTATTCGCAACTTTTTATTATTAGCATGTTGTTTTCAAAATACGGGGATTTGTTAAATTACTGTTCTTGTAGCCAAATAGCTATCATAACCGTTCTACTTAAATATACAATATATATATTACTTTTTTTATTGAATTTTTTTAATAATAAAATTGTATTAGTAGTATTTTACCATTTTTCAAAGGAGGGCTTCTTAAACTCGAACGATATTCAAACTTTTAATAAAAATCAACCACAAAAACCAAACAATGGCCATAAATTTACCAAAACTCTAGATTGCCCTCAAAAGCTCGTAATTTCCAAACAACGTGAGATAATTTTATTTTCTATTTTTTTTTTTTTCAGGACACTTAAGGACAATACTATCACCCCGTTTTGGCTTGACATTGAGTTCTGAGACAACTGGGATTGTACATATGTAAAGAACAAGTTTTTTGCGTCAAATAGAAGTTTGCCCGTAGGTAAGTGGTTAGAGCCATAAGATTTAAATCACAGGTTTGATACACGTTTCAGCAGCCCGATGTCAAACAGTAATAACATCAGTTTTTATTTGGAAATATAGGTAGCAATATGTTTCTGAATGACAGTTGCCCTTGGCCCGCATTGCTGCATCAATAAATATTCATCACTATTACATAAATTGTAATAATAAAAATTGATCACATAGAGATGGGACAACTGTTTGGGTTGCCATCTATAGAAACAACGTCAAATCATAAAAACTACTTATAAAACCCTCAAGATCTGATCAATATTATGAACATGTTCTAAGCATGGATTTGCATGTATAAAAACCAATATATTTGCACATTAAAAATACGAAACATTTTTTTTTCTTATTATCCAAATGGATTCAGTACTTTTCCCCAAAATGTGGCAAATGTACGTACTGGCACGCACGTAATTTTTTTTCTGATAATGAGGCATGTGATCAGAAGGCTTTGAAGTGCAAAGCTATCAAAAAAGTTAAAGTTGAGATTTTTGCGATTTTAATAACCCATCATTCTGGAAGTTAACAAATTACTTAATGAGCCTTCAGAATTTTACAGTTCTAAACCCATTATAATAAAATAATAATAATAACTGTTATAATAAAATAACAATAAAACTTTTTCTTAGCATCTTTTTGGAAAGCATCCCACCTTTTCTCCTATCTATTTGATATATTTTTATCATTAAAATTTCTCGAATATTGATGATATATTTTTAATTTGATGCAGCAATTTTGAGAGGAGGCAATTTTTGCACGAAATCTTACTTAGATCAACATTTTCAAATAAAAACTACTGATTGATACCAAGTCGTCCTTGAAACCTAGAACCTTTGGTTACTAAGGCAAAATTTTAAATATGTATTGTTGTGTTACGTTTTTCTTTGTATTAAAGTTTCACAAAACACATTATCTAGTCATGATCTAATTCTACTTGAACCGTCAAAGTGCATATGTACTTTACAGTATTTCTTCGTTATTTTTCTGTCTATATATGATAGTTCCTCGAACTTTCTATCCATAATGGTTTTGGTTTTGTAATGTCCATAATTTAACAGTCTCAGTATCACAAATTATGTTCATTTCAGATATAGCATGAGATTTGAATAAATCAATTCTTGTACATATTATATCCGATGACACAATGGCATACAGTTACAAGATTTTTATCTGCGTATAATTTAAACAAAAATTTCTAATTTCTAATCTCACTTAAACTCTCTGACATGTCGAATATAGATTTGCCTCGAGCTCTATCACTTTAGCCTGAAATGAAAAAAAAATATCTGAAGTAAATTACGTTTTAAAATTTCGGTCATTGGCATAGACAACTTCCGATAGAGAACAAAATAATTATTAACTTTCATATAAAGAGAATAATTGCTTATGATGGTAGTCCTATGTATCGTTTGCTTGCGAATGATTTTTTAAAAATATATCTACATATATAGATTTTAATAAATAAAAATAATGACATCTTCTAAAATTAATATTAATAGTATATTATTGTAGATCATCATATATTGGTTAAAATATGGTTAAAATTTATATAATAGATCAAAATTGGTCAGAGATAACTATATCAAAATATATAGGTCTAAAGAAGAGCAGGACTTAAAGACCCGCGGGTAAAAAGGTTCATCACCATTATAACAAAAAACAATTAATGTTAAAAAATTTCTAACAACAAAGTTTGAAAGTAGAGGGAAGAATTAAAAATAAGACATTGGAGCTGTTTGTCTTTTGGCTGTCCTATTTTACCCTGCCTATGCAGTAAACAGGACCACATAACAAGTTTTTGAAAAACAGCAAAAACTAGTTGTGTATGGCATCGTGCCTTAAGGCAAATTGCTGGAACTTCCCGTACCGTAACGAAATTTTCCAGAAATATTAAATGTTTTAATATAGATTATTATAAATACTGTAATATTGTCTAATATTTATAAGAGTTATATAAACTGAATTACAAATTATTTTTTTTAAGTATATAAGTAAGCTTTAGAACTTTAGCCAGAATTAAAATTCAAATCTGAATTATTTTCGATATGCAAAAATTTTTTTTTCAAAAACAATTATTTTGTGAAAACAAGCAGAAAGTTTTTTGATTCATTCAAATCGAATGCTTAGATCTAAAAACTTAACTAGTTGGTATTGGTATTTAGCCTTGAGGCAAGTTACATGAACTTCCCGATATGTGTAAATAATCGACTTAATCAATATGAAATAGATTAATTTATGAGTGATTAAAAGTATTTCGAGTGGATTTATTACACATAATTGAAAATGAACTCGGAGTATTCTTTTTTAGCAAATTTTCACAAATTAATAATTTTTATAATTGAAACAGTTTCCGTAGGACTTTAATGGTTTAGTATGTTCATTAAGATCAAGTACTCTATCGTTATACCAAGTAAATCGTCTAATTTTCATTTTAGCTAACGTCAGAAAAACTACTCATTTTCTCAAACGTTGATAAACTTTTAAAATTCAACTATTTGTCGTAAGGCCGTAATATTGCAGTAAGTCCTATAAGACCATGATATATATCGCTAAAAAAAGTTCCATAAAAATCGGCTTAAATTTTATTTTCAAGAGTTAATTACAAGAAAACGCCTCGGTAGATTTTCACATAAAACTAATCAGCATCAAACCCAACTAATATCTTTCGGACAGTTTTTGATTTTTTAAAATCGATTTGGTAGAATGAGCTTAAATGTGAACGAAAATTTTAACCCTCTTTTTAAATTATAAAGAAACGGCTTGGCAGATCGTCGCACTAAACTTACAAATGATAGTCCTCATCGGATGAGGACTCGGATCATGAAATCGGTTCAGGCGTTTTTGAGAAAATGTCGATGAAGGATCTAATTTTGACAAATGCCAAAAAACGATACCAATTTTTGCAAACTTTGACTAATTTTGAAAGTTAAACTAGTTGTCGTAGGGCCGTAATATTTTAGTATATTACAAGAAAACGGCCCGGCCGATCTTCACCAAAAACTAATCAGCACGATTCACAACCAAAATCTTTCGAACGGTTTTTAAATTTTCAAAATCGATTCAGAATTGCGGGCTAAAACGTGAACGAAAAATTTTTGACTATTCTGCTATTTATAAAAAAACGTCTCGGCCGATCGTCGCATAAACGATAGTCCTCATCGAGATACATCGAATGGCTTTTAAATTTTTGGAATCGGTCCACCCGTTTTCGAGAAAACTTCGATTTACGGCAAAAAATCTGTTCACATACACGCACATACACACATACACACACACACACACAAACTTTTTTCAAATTTGGTCTCATTCGATTCAGAATGGCTTGAAACGTCGAGAAAACTTTAAATTAGCGAATCGGATTTTTTGATGAAAACATAAACTTCACCTTCGGGAAGTTAAAAACAAAAAACTAAAAACAATTTTTTGTACATTTAGCTCGGTATTTCCGAAACGGCTAGACCTGCCTTTGCCGAAAACTAATCAGCACATCTCCCTATTAATAAGAATCAAATGTTTCTGGAACCCTTCAAATCGGTTGATTCGTGCCCTCGAAAACGTGGACGAAAAATTGTATCCATACATACATACACACATCCATTTTTTCTGAGGCATGCAAAATGTTCAGAAATTTTCGAAACGTGAAGAAATGTAAAAAAATTCAATTTCGATTTTTTGACTATTACAATAACTTACCCTACTGGAAGTTAAAAAATACATTTATTTGAATTTTTAACTTACCGTAGGGTAAGTTATAAATAGTGCAAAAATATCGAAAATTAAATTTTTTATATATTTTTACGTTTCAGGGGTCTGAACATTTTCGCATATCTTATAAACAATGGATATATGTGTGTATGTGTATGTATGTATGTATGTGTATGTATCATAAAAATGTGCCTTTCAAAATTATCGCAAAGTATACGAAATTAGCACCAAATTCAAAATTTATTACACAATCTAACATAAAATCATGTTGAAAATCGAAAAATGTCGTTAATGAAATTACATATCTGACATTTTAGGTTATGTCAAACAATTTTCAATTTCGGGAGTGGTTTGAAAGATTCATGACTGAATACAATTTTAGTGTTTTATATTCTAAACTCTAGTGTCATCAAAATTGAAAATAATGTCTGTAGCAGTTTATTTCTATTCAGTGGGTGCGTGTTTGTTGCTTTCAATCACCTATGTTGCTAGCCTTTACATTTGGAGCTCCAATTACCCAAGAGATCATCCTTTAACAATTAAAAGAAGATTTTTTAGTGTATTTATCATGATGTTTATATCACCAATGTTCTTGTATGTAATGGGTTCCGAAGAACTTTTTAAAAAAGCTACAATTTGGGAACTACTCGGATTCAGGACAGATGGTATTGTAAATGCTTCAATAATACCACTTATGTTAACAATGGTCTTATTCCTTGGACCCTTATCAATGACTCAATACAGCGGTTTTAATGCCAGCGAATACATGAATAATTTTACAAATTTGGTATGGCTGCGAAATCATATAGTAGCTCCATTGTCTGAAGAATTCACTTTTCGAGCTTGTATGTTGCCGTTACTTCAGCAGTGCTTTGGAAGACTTGCGTCGATTTTAATATGTCCATTATTTTTTGGAGTTGCACATTATCACCATATGCAAGAGAGATTAAAATCCGGGATGTGTTTGAAGACTACAATCATCATATCTTCATTCCAATTTTTGTATACAACATTATTTGGAGTTTACTCAGCTTATTTATTTGTGAGGACAGGACATTTTGCAGCACCTTTTGTGGTGCATGCCTTTTGCAACCACATGGGATTACCTAATTTTGAGGAAGCTTTGTCTTATAAATCGCCAAAGAAGGAAAGAGTTTGTTCACTATTTCTTATTGGATTGGTAATATGGGGATTTCTTATTGAACCAATTACAAAACCGCACTTATTTTCAAATCATTTGTACAATTTAAATTATGAAGACAATAG